GGAATGGAATTTTCTGGGAGGTGACAGGGGTGTTGTTCTCCCTCCTCATCCTGTGTGATCCCTGCCTGCTGCTCACACAGCACTGAGGGGTGAGCAGAGTGTCTGGGGATGGCGAGGACTTGGGAACTGGAACGCTTCCCTCCCTCTCCTTTTGGTAGAAGGTGAGGAAGAGGACGATGATGAAGAGGAAGATGATTTGGATGAAGAAGTCATTGATGATGAAGAAGATGAAGATGATGACCTGGAAGGTGAAGAGGAGGAGGATGGAGTAGATGATGAGGTGAGGCTTTCTGTCACCGGGCTGTTTGGTCACGCATTTATCCCTTGTCTGGTGACCCAGGTGTCACTTTGAGGGGAGATCTGAGGAGCTTGCCATCCCCTCTGACTTTTTCCCTGTACCTTTTGACTCATGGTCCACAGAGTTTTCCAGTTCAGGCTTGTCCTGGTACTTCCCATGGCCCCAAGTGATGAAGCCATGCAGCCCCATCCATAGGGATTGAGGAGCTATTTGGGAACCAACAGCTTCTCCCTAGCACCTTGAGGCTTCAGTGGGGTGGGAGCAGAGATTGCTGTGGAGTTACAGCTCAGGGAGTTGTGGTTCTTGCAACAAAATGCCTTGTTTTAACTCCAGGAGGAAGATGAGGAGGAAGATGGTGAGGATGAAGAGGATGAAGCTGAAGATGGTGAGTTGAATCCTAACTAACCAATTTCTTACCAAAGCTGCCTCAACAAATATTTGGTGTTTTTAGAGCTCCCCAAGCCTCAGTTCAGGGCTGTTGTTGCTGCAGCTTTTCTGCCCAAGCTGATGTTGAGTAGTGTCATCACCAAGGGTCACAAAGGGGACGGAGAGCAGGTTTCAGTACCTCCTAATTCCAACCACTCTGGGTAATTCTGCCAAATATTTGAGGCAGATTGCCTAGAAAACCAGTTCAGCTGCAGACCTGAGCTTCTTGGGTCCAGACTCCTCTGATTTTAACAAATATAAACACCCAAATGAATGTTGATAGAATGTTGTGGCTGGATGACTCATGGAATGTTAAGGTTGGGAAATCCCTGTTAATATCAAGACCAACACCACCGTGTTCACCTCTAAACCATGTCCCTAAGTGCCACATCCACATGTTTTTGAACACTTCCAGGGATGATGACTCCACCACTGCCCTGGGCAGCCTGTACCAGTGTCTGACCACCCTTCCCGTGAAGGAATTTTCACTAATATCCAACCTAAACCTCCTCTGGCACAACTTGAGTCTGTTCCCTCTCCTCCTGTCCCTTGTTCCCTGGCAGCAGAGCCCGACCCCCCCCAGCTCCCCCCTCCTGTCAGGGGGTTGCAGAGCCAGAAGGTCCCCCCTGAGCCTCCTTTTCTCCAGGTTGAGCCCCCCCAGCTCCCTCAGCTGCTCCTGCTGCTCCAGCCCCTTCCCAGCTCCATTCCCTTCCCTGGACACGCTCCAGCCCCTCCATGTCCTTGTCCTGAGGGGCCCAGAACTGTCCCCAGGATTTGGGGCCCCACCAGTCTCCAGCACAGGGCATGTGAACTTGGTTAGAAATGACTGAATTCTGCAGATGCTGCGTTTTTGAGGGTCCTCAACAAAAATAACCCCTTTTCCAGCAGCTGTTGAAATACGGGATGCTCAGAGGGCACAGAAAGTAGTTCATGTCTGCTGCTATCCCAGGCTTTTCCATGTGCCACGAGGAGCAGGGTAGGGTGGATCTCTGCTCTGGAATGGTGCTGGTTTTGCTCCCAGATGTGCCTTGTGAGGCCACAGCTCAGCTGCTGTTCCCCAGGGCTGGGCAGAACTTCACCCTTGGCCTCTCTTTGCAGACCATCCGTGTGGGCAGAAGAGAAAACGAAGTCTAGAGGATGAAGGAGAGGAAGACCCAGAGGACGAAGAGGACGATGAGGATGACTGAGCCCAGCGAGCCAATCAGTTTTACAGACTCTGACTGTGCTTGTCTTAAACCTCCCCGTTGTGTTTATGTGAGACTGTAAATCCCCATCTCCCACTCCTCCTCCTCCCCCCTTTGTATGGCTGCAGCGTCCACAATATATTTTTTTAAGATTTAGAATACTGTAGGCATTCAGGGGAATCTTCCATACAAGGCTCACTTTTTCTCACAAGTTATCTCATGACCAAAGGCTTTTCTCCGTTCGGTGGTTTGTGCAGCAGCTTGCAAAAAAAAAAAAAAAAAAAAAGAACAAAAAATCCAAAAGAAAAAAAAAAAGAGAGAAAAAAATCTCCTCCTTAGGGTATCTTTGTGTCCCAAATCAGCTGTGCCACACTGGATCCAGAGCTCCAGTTCACACCCAGCCAGCACTGAAGGTCTTTGCCATCCCTCAGACCAGCTCTCTGAAGACTCTTGAGCCACCTTGGGTGGAGAATCTGGTTTATCTCCGTGGACTCGAAGTGAAAATGATCCCTGAGGGTGTCTGATCTGAAATCATGGTGATGTGATCTCTGGACATGCTTGAAGATGCTTTAGTGCTGGGGATGTGGGGTTTTGGGGAGGGGAGGGGAGGGGGGGCTGCTTGCATGACCTGGTACCTCTGACCATGCACCTTGCAGTAGCCCTGCACTTGATTTCCTATTTTATTTGATAAACTGGAATATTTTTCCCAGTGGCCACCTAAAAACCATCACTTGGATATCCAGGTGGGTCAGGTTTTTGCCTTTGCCATGGTGAGGCTCCTCCAGGGCAGCCTTTGGGAAGGGATAGGAAATCCAGGTGAAGGGATACTGCACTTCCATCAGACTCCCTTTCTCACTGTACAGAACAGCCACTATCACTGTGATGCTCCTAACTCGGCGTTCCCCGGAGACCGTGTTAGCCTGTGAATTCTCAGGGTCCTTCTGCCAGCCAGTGCCAGCTCTGGACAGCCTGGCATTGCATCCTCCTCCTCCCTTCCCAGCACAGAGCAGAATTCCAGCTCTCCCCTCAGTGGGGCCTGTGTCCCTTCACCCCACGGGTGCTGGAAGGAGGATTTGGGGGATCCAGCCAGGAGCGTTCCCAACCCATTCCCACCTTCCCTGTTCCTGGAGGTGTCCAGCCAGCACGTCCCTCGGGAGAACTGGCCCTTTGGCACCCGGGGGGGTCCCTGCTGGGTGCTGGGGTGGGGGGGTCACTGCTGTCCTGCTGTCGGGGCTCCCACGGGTGCAGACATGCACTGGCACTTTGTGGCATTCCCGGTGGGTGCTCCGGGCCATCCCGAGACTCCAGCCCTTCTTCCCTCAGAGGAGTGGTGTGTGTTGCAGCACATCCCGTTGCTCTTTGTTCTCGCTGTTGTCTCTTGCATTGTACAGTCGCTGTAACCATTCGGAGAAGAACTAATCCTGTAAAATGCAAACTGAGTAACTTATAAATGTTTTAAGGAATTTTTAAAAAAAGAAATGTCAGAGCAGCAGTTCTAATTTTTTTTCCCTGCATTTTTAGCAGATTGTATGGATTTTATATTAGCCTAGTAATTGTCAGGTTTTGATTGGTCAGACTAGTCCCAGAAATAAGGATCTCCAGCCCTTTTGTATCTTTTGTTACAAAATTTGGATAAAACTTTAATAAAGACTTCAGTTTTTAAAAATCCATTGCAGTGGGGGTTGTCTTGGCTGCCTCTGCCATGGGAACAGCCAGGAGTGCTCAGAGTGGGAGGTTTGGGGCAAATTTGAGTCTCCTGAGAGCAGTGAGTGTCCCATGTCCCCAGGTTTGGCTCTGAGCCCTGGATGGGGGGTGTGGTGGGGGTGAGGTAGGCTCTGCTGTGGGGGGGCACAGACCATCCCGGTGTGGAGTCCCAGCAGGGGTGTGTCTGCAGAACCTGCCCTCTCTGCCCTTGGAGGTGGCTGTAGCTGGATCAGGATCAGGGACAGGTTGGGAAGGGTCCCACTGCTGCCTTTTGGGGTGGGCACCTGCCCTGGAGGAGGAACGTGGGTGTTCAGTAGGGCAGAGTGGGCTGGGGGGCCAGGGAAGCTGCCTGTGCCCACAGGGAGCTGTGGCAGTGCCACAGTGCCCCCCCACTCTGGGGCCTGGGAGGTCCCTCCCCTTGCCAGGGCTCTGATCCTGCACCGGCTCTGTGATGAGCTGTCGCTCTGTCAGGTCTCAGCAGCCAGGGCTACAGCTGAGGGACACTTCAGTATGTCCACCCTCCTGCTCAGGACCGGGGTGAGGGAGGGTCTGTGCTGGACTGGGGAGGGCACAGGGGCACAGACCCCCATGCCATGTGCCCACCCAATACAGGGGTGACAGCAGGAGAGAGCTGGGGCATCCCAGGGTGCTGCTCTCCATGTGCAGGGATCCCAGCAGGAGGAAGAGATCTCCAGCCCGGCCAAGGAGACCCCCTGAGGCCTATCCCAGGGCTGTGTCCCCTCCTGGGGCTGCAGCAGCCCCCGACCCCAGGGTACAGAGCAGGGGGTGCCGGTGCTCCCACGACTCCCATCCCAGGGCCAGTGTGGGCACCAGCACGTCCCAGCATGTCCCAGCACGCCTTCCCCAAACCAGTTTGGAGCAAACTTTTCACCCTGCTGGGATGGGATCAGGCAAAGCAGGACCTGGGGAGCCCCGGGCTGGGAATGTGCGGCCGCTCGGCTCCCACGGGGGGTGCAGCCCCCTCAGGGCCGGGTACAGGGGCCCTACTCCACCCCAAAGGTTGTCCATGCCCTTTTCCTGGCACCTCTGCCTGTGCACCGAGGCTGGCGGGGGGCTGGGGTCCCACCCTGGTTTGGGTGCCCAGTTTGGGTGCTGGGATGCAGCTGGCAGAAGCTCCAGCTCTGCTTCTCAGGAGCCCTTCATGGTCTGCAATGTGCTGACAGATCTGAGGGGGAAGGGAGCACCCCCTTTCCCTTCCTCAAACCTTCCTCTTCCCCAGACCTGCCCAGAGCAGAGTGACACACAGACTTCCCTGTATTCCCCCATCTCCTTGCCTTTAGTTTTGGGGGGGCATCCTTAGGGATGGCCCCACTCCCCCCTCACCCCCAGCCACCACAGGCACTGACAGAGCCTCTCCCGGCCACCACTCCTGTACAATTCCCATTTATTATTCCGAGGTTTCATTCCAGAGAAGTCCACTAACTCCTGAGCAACCTACCCGGCTCCTACCAGAGCCACGGGGGCTGAAGCAACGAAACCCTTAGGGGGAGGGAGAACGAGGGGGTTCGGGTGCTTAAGAGTTTCCGAAAATAAAAGGGAGGGGAGAAAATTCCAGAGGAAACACCCGTCCTTCTGGCACCCCGGGCTGGGCTGGGGTGCTCCCGGTGCCCAGGGAGGGATCCCTGTCCCAGCCCAGTGGCAGGGGCTGGGCGGTGCCCCCTGCCCGGCTCGGGGGGAGGGATGGGGAGGAGCAGGAGCAGGAGCAGTCCCGTGAGAGCCGGGGCATCAGAGCTGGGAGTACAGGGAGTTCTCCATCTCCGGCGTCATCTTGGCGTGGAAGGAGGCGAGACCCACCCCGAAATCTGCAGGGAGAGGGGGGAGAGCTGTCAGCACTGTGGAGGACCCTCGTACCCAGGGGCTCGGGGGCTGGGGGCTGCAGGGAGGGAACATGGCCCTCCCCAGGGCATTGCAGAGGCTGGGGGGCACTGGGAGGGCACACAGACCCCTCCAGGTCATTGATGCCGGTGGGGGGGCAAAGGGCTGGGGGGCACACAAACCGCCAGAGGCATTATTGCAGGGAGGGGGCACAGGGAAGGAGGGCACTGGGAGGGCACGCAGACCTCTCCAGATCATTTACTGCCCCCGCCAGGGACATTCCTATGGGCTGGGGGTGACCAGGAGCTAGAGGGCACAGAGAGGGCACATGGACCTCCCCCCCCGGGGCATTGCAACAGGCTGGGGCAGAAGCTGCAGCCCAGGATCCACCCCAGGGCTGGTCATCCCCCGCCAGGACAGACGGAGGAGGATCCGCGTTATCCCTGCGGGACAGACTGACCCCATTCCCGCGAGCATCCCGGCAGTTCGGGGTCCCCCCCGTACCCATCTCGGCGTCCAGGCGCCCGGGCGGGGGGTTCTTGCGGTGGTCCTCGATGTGCAGGGTCATCTCCTCGCGGGAGGCGGCCGAGAAGGGGCACTGGGTGCAGGAGTAGCGGCCCCGCGTGTGCTCCCACACGATGCGGCTGTTGGAGGAGTGCCCTGCAAGGACGGGCGGGCAGGGAAGCACAGGGATCACCCCCAGCGGCCGCTCCCGGGTGCCGTGGGGGGCTCGGATGGGCCGGGGGCTCCCAGCCCTACATGCACGGGGGGTTCCCTTCCCGAGGGAGGGACCTCAAATCTGGGAGCAGGGAGCGAGGCTGTGCACCCCGGGCACGACCTCCCCTTGTGTGTCTCCTCTCCGTGCCACACGGAGCAAAGGGTTCCAGTTTGGCCTCAGGACTGGGGGGACTGGAGCCCACGGAGCTGCTGCAGCTCCTCATCCTGCTGCTTCTGCCCTCAGGACAAGGCTGGGGGGCTTTGGGGG